TCCAAGTAGCTGGGACTACAGGCATGCGCCACCAAGCCTGGCTAATTTTTTCTATATATATTAGTTGGCCAATTAATTTCTTTCTATTTATAGTAGAGATGGGGTCTTGCTCTTGCTCAGGCTGGTTTTGAACTCCTGACCTTGAGCAATCCTCCAGCCTCAGCCTCCCAGAGTGCTAGGATTACAGGCGTGAGCCACCGCGCCTGGGCCAAAAGAATGCTGTTGTTGGAAAGCTGTTGTTTAGTGGAGTGTTCTATAAATGTTGATTAGATCCTGTTGGTTGATGGTTGTTGAGGCCTTCTATATCCTTGCCAATTTTCTGTCTAGTGTTTCAACCAGTTGTTGAGAGAGAGATATTGAAGTCTTCAACTATAAATGTACAATTTGTCTATTTCTCCTTTTATTCCTGTCATGTTTTGGTTCACATATTTTGCAGCTCTGTTATTTGGTATGTACACATTTAGGATTGCTGTCTTCTCACTAGATTGATCCTTTTATCATCATGTAATGTCCCTCTGAAGTCTACTTTATCCTATATTAATATAGCCATTGCTACTTTCATTTGACTGATATTTGTTAACATGATGTATTTTCCTTTTTTTTTTTTTTACTTCCAACATGCTTATATCGTATTTGAAGTGAATGTCTTGTGGATAAGCATATAGTTGGGGTTTTTTTAGATCTACTCTTTTAATCTCTATCTTCTATTTGGTATATTTGAATCATTGATATTTAATGTAATTATTGGTGTGTTAGGGCTTAAGTCTGCCATTTCATTCTTTATTTTCTGTTCTGTTTTTCATGTCTTTGCTTTCATTTTCCTATCCCCCTGTGAATTTTTACACCTTTATATTAAAATTTTATCTTTATTTACGTATAGTGTTTTTGTTTTGTTTTGTTTTTGAGACAGAGTCTCACTTTGTTGCCTAGGCTAGAGTGAGTGCCGTGGTTTCAGCCTAGCTCACAGCAACCTCAAACTCCTGGGCTCAAGCAATCCTACTGCCTTAGCCTCCCGAGTAGCTGGGAGTACAGGCATGCGCCACCATGCCCGGCTAATTTTATTTCTATATATATTAGTTGGCCAATTAATTTCTTTCTATTTATAGTAGAGACGGGGTCTCACTCTTGCTCAGGCTGGTTTCAAACTCTTTACCTCAAGCAATCTTCCCACCTCGGCCTCCCAGAGTGCTAGGATTACAGGCGTGAGCCACCACCCAGCCTATATATAGTGTTTTTTTAGTATATTCTCTTGTATAGCTTGCTCTAGGTATTATTACATCATATAGAACTTACCACTATACTGGTGTCATCACTCTCACAGTTCAAGTTAAGTGTGGAACCTTACCTCTCTTTACCCTCCTCCATTTTTAATATAATTAAATAGTTTCTCTGCATACATGTAGAACCACATCAGATGGTGTTATAAATTTGCTTCAACCATCAAACATAATTTAGAAAACCCTAGAGTAAAAGGAGAGTCTGTTGTATTTATTCGCAATTTTCCTTTTCGTGTTCTTCTTTTTTAGTATTCTGAGATTCCTTCTTTTATTGTTTCCTTTCTTTTAGAGAACTTCTTTTGGCCCTTGTTTTAGGGCAGGTCTGCTGGTGACAAACTTAATTTTCTTTCCTCTGAGAATCTTTTGATTTCCTCTTCATTCCTGCAGGATATTTTTGGTGGCTGTAGGATTCTGGGTAGACAGAATCCCTTTCTTTCAGCTCTTGAAAAGTGGTGTGCTGCTTCCTTCTAGCTTTCTAATGAGAAATCCTCTGTCATTCAAATTGTTTTTTCCTATAGGAAAGGTTGTCACCTTATCATGGCTACGTTCAAGATTTTTGTTTTTAATTTTCAGAAATTTAATCATGATGTGTTTTGGCATGAATTTCTTTGAACATATCCTGTAGATTCACTCAGCTTCTAGAATATGTGGGCTTAGGCATTTTCCATATTTGGGGACTTTTTAGCCATCATCTTCCAAGTACCTTTCAGCTGCCCTCTTTCTCCTCTGCTTCTGGGATGTCATCCACGTGTATGTAAGATCTTGTTATAGTATCTGCATATCCTTGAGGCCCTGTTCATTTTTTATTTTCTTTCCGATTGATTAATTTCTATTGTTCTGGCTTCAGATTCACTGATTATCTACCCCTCCATTCTGCCATTAAGCCTATTCACTGAGGTGTTTTTTTTTTTAATTTCTGTTTGGCCTTTCTTTACATCTTCAGTTTTTTGCTGAGGCTTTGTATTTCATGACTCACTTTATTTTTATTTGTGTCTATCATGTTCATAATTGCTCCTTGAAATTGTTTTATGATGGCTCCATGAAAAGGTAATTTCTACCATCTCTATTACTATGGTTATATCTATTGATTAACTATTCTCATTCAATCTGAGATATTCCTGATTCTTGTTATGAATGATATTTTATTGAAATCAGGACTTTTTGGGCATTATGATAGAATCTCATTTAAATCTTCTGTTACAGCAGACCTCTGGACACTGCTCTAGGGGGAAGGAGAGGGGCACTATCTTGTTACTGCAGGTGGGGATGAAGTCCTGGTCCCCCTCAAGTCTCCACTGATATTAGGGTGGGGGGATGGGCTGGTGCATTACCCCTCATAGAGGAGGGAATTTGGGGCTCCCTCTTGGGCCTTCTCTGAAACCTTGGGGATCGGGGTTGGGGCATGGGACTCATTATAGCCTGGTGAGGATGGGTGTGGGGCTGCAGTGACTTTTATGGTGTTTGGCCGGAGTAAAGCAGTTACTGTCTAAAAGTTTTATCTTTATAGGCTGTCCCTTTCCTGGTCCTTTGGACAAAGAGCAGCTTTTGTTGGGCTTTTGTTATTGAATGCATCTTGGGTATTGGCAGCAACAAGGAAACCCAGGGAACTCCCAGCTGTGTTTTACCTTGAGACTAGTCCCTGACTAGTCTGCATTCTTCTCTTTCAGCGTTGTCTTACATTTGTTTTACTTATAATGTCTAAGGTTTTTAGTTGTACTTAGTGGGAGGAATAGGGAAGAAAGTGTCTACTCCACCTTCCCAAAACGCACATCTGAAGATTTCTCAACTGGCTAAAGAACTAAAAGTGGGCCAGCCATTCTGAGGCTCAACAGTATAACCTGAGAACTATGAACTCAGGATGATATACATGAAGGATTGTCACATGATAAGGCCTAGGGATGTCTGCAGGCCTGTACTTCAACAGGGTCTTCATGCTGAAAGATCTCAACCAGTACATGGTTGGAGAAATATATTAATACCTGACCGGTTAATCTCACAATCAAAATATTTTCCAGCTCACAATTAAAATATTTTCCAGCACAATCAAAATATTTTCTAGCAAAGTGTGCACTATTTGGATCCTCTTGTCCCCTGATCTGCCCCTGGCCTGAGTTTTTTCATTAACTCATTTCATTTCTCAAAAATGATTTTGTTTTTCCTCCATTAACACCACAGGGCATTTGCCTGAAAGCTGGGCTATAAATGGCATGAGTCACGTGCTTTACCTAGGCCCAAGTGATTGCCATGTCCTCCTTGTTGACAAACTGACAGAAGGAAATGAGTGAGTAGGTATAACTAAGCTGCTACTACCATCACCACCCTCCAGGTTAAAAAAAAGCCAGATTTCCTTTTGTTTTAATAAAACAAATAAGGCTTGGAAAACATAGTATGCTTTTAAGACTTAAAACTGTCCTAAAGTATGAGATAAATAAAGGCTGTAGTTCCCAAACACAGCTTGAATCAGAATTACTTGGGGAGATTCCTGGGCCCCCAGACTGAGTCAGTACCAGGGTTGGAACTTGGAAAATAGATTTTTATAAATCTCCTAGGGAATTCGAATATCCAGTTGCATTGGCAAACTACTGCATTAATCCTATACCGGATCCTTATGTCTCACGGTGGCTCTTACACTTAATTTGGTTAGGAAACAATGAGAATATTTCATCTTGTGCAGTTAGATGTTGGAGATTTTGCAGAATACTTGTTTACAGGTTCACTTTTTGTTCCTGGAGCCTGAGAAAATGCTGGCGTATGGTATTCAAGCCCTAGTGACTCTTAAACTGTGCTCTTTGCTCTGCTCTAGCCAATATATTATGTCAGGGTAAGTGACAAACCTGAAAAAGAATGTATGGTGTCATTTGACAGTCTTCCCCTTTGACAGTTATTGCAAGCTAAAACAAACAGAATGCCAAAAAAAGAGCCCTTCCGTAGTTGTCCTTCATCAGTTTGAAAAATGCTTTCAGTGAGGAGGCGTCTGCACCATAGTTAGTGCTCCAGACAACATTAGTGATTACTCAGTCAGTTCTTGCTGAACGGCTGGACCAAGGAGAAGAGAGGGTTATACCTGTGATTGCCAAGTATTGCCCACAGAATGGGCTTAGAATGTACAGTTGGGGAATTTCAGGAGAAGAGGACCATCCTTACTCAGAGGCTGGGGCTGTTTGTGCACCGCTCTGCTGCCCAGCGTTGGACCCCTGGCTGGCAGCTCTCTACCAGACCACTCCGCTGCTGGTGACTGTTTCTCCCTCAATTCTTAGTCCCCTAGCTTCTTATTTACCACACATGTATATGATCTGCTATTCTGTATCAATTCCTCATTTTCTACTTTAATTCCCTCCTTAACTATTTTTGTTTGACTTTTGATTGACTTACCCCATGCCTTTTCATGGCCTTTTCTTCCCACTCTCAAAATTGTTTTTATCTTTGGGGCCTTGAAATAAATTATTCTCTAAATTATGAATAATTGATGCACTGAGCTAATATATATCCTGTTACCCAGTAATATTCTCAGCCTCATTTATTGCTAAAATTTGTGTTTCTGGCTGTAAAATATTACTTATTTTCATATATATCGGGCTTTTTATGTGGTTTTTTTTTTTTTTTTTTTTTTCTTCCCATGTTGCTCCCTTGGGGAGTCTCTTCCCCTTTCCATAAACTACGGTCCCTGCATAACTGTTCCCTGTGCCTCCTCATCTTGCTTGTCCTGCCCACGTCACCCTGCAGGATTCTATGGCCTGGACGAGTCTGACCTTGACAAGGTCTTCCACTTGCCCACCACTACTTTCATCGGAGGACAGGAGTCGGCGCTTCCTCTGCGGGAAATCATTCGTCGGCTGGAGGTAAGAACACAGTGCAGTTTCCAGAAAACTCTACTAGAGTCGCTAAGAACCTGCATTGGCAGGATGGCCTCGAGACTAGTTTCTTTTTTTCCTTGGCCCTGTCTTTTTAAAAAAAATGTAATAGAGAACTTTTTCTTTGGCTGTTTTGTAGATAGAAACCTATGTTTTTATAATCAACCATAGAAGGAGGGAAAATTGTTTTAAAATCCTAGTGGGGATTTATTTCAGATATGTGACATTCTCCAGAGAGTTAGCTCGACCCTGAGGGACAGTCCCCAAACCAGGGATCATTCCCTGCACAGCCAAGTGCTGGGGCTACTGGGTGGTGGCCACTCTCTGCCCCTCTCTCCCTCTATTTTGCTCAGATTTATGTTTTACTTCCTTTTTTTCCTCCTTTCTGGCCTTTGTTAGTACTAAGCATACCGGGGAACTCTTTGACAGACACACATAGGCAGCAGCTAAGAGTCATGGCTTTGGGATTAGGTGGCCTGTGTCTCTTCCTTCCATCCTGGTCAAATTATAGCCTCCCTCAGTACAAGGGTAATTTCGATGCCCATTCCAGAGGGGAGAATGGATGTAAGGAGAGGTCCATGCCAAGTGTTAGCTGTTACTATTACTTAATGCTGCTCATGGTATTCAGAGCTAAAGAATCAAGGTTAAAACAGACTGAGAAAATACCTTGGAATGGAGCCCCTCTGAATTGAATGTACAGATTGCCTGGAGTCTTGCCTGTCATGTAGACTCTGAACCTTAGGTAGCATCTGATGTTGTTCTTAACAAGCTCAGGTTGAACCACAGTGGCCACTGGGCTCTCTGAGGCAGTCCCTCTCATGGCTGGACATTAGAACCACTTTGGAAGCTTTCAGAAACCTCAGTGCCCAGACCACAGCCCAGGTCGTGTAAGTCAGAGTCTGCCTACCACCTCAGTGATTAGCCTCTGCTGCAGTAAGCAAGGTTTGATTTAAAAGACTTTTGTCAGTGGTTTCACACTTGGATGCAGAGTGGCATGAAGACATCTGAGTGTCAGTGGTGCCATTTCCTGTAGCTTGTGATGAGCATCCTGCAACGTTGTCAGCATCTCAGTCTGGAGCTACTTCACTGCCTGCATTTCTCACTTTCAGGCTTGTGGGAGAGAAAGGACTATAAATCAGACCTACATGCCAGCATCAGAGGGAGTGGTCAGGGTTTGTTGAGGTGAATTAACCTTTGGATCCTTCCTATCGCCTTTGTCTGCACCAGCGTCACCACGCCGACCATAATCTCTAATCCTGCCCTGCTCAACATGGGAGCTACTAGTCACATGTAACCATTGAGTACTTGAACTATACAAAATATCTGCATAACTTTTTAAATGTTGAAAAGATAATATGTTTGCTATATTGAGTCAAATAGCAAAATTGTTTTTTCCTTGTTTTTGTTGAGACAGAGTCTCACTCACTGCCCTGGGTAAAGTGCAATGGTGCCATTGTCGATGCAGCCTTGGACTCTTGGGCTCTAAGCAATCCTTTTGCCTCAGCCTCCCAGATAGCTGGGACTACAGGTGCAGGCTGCATCTCCCAGCTGGGCTTTTTTTTCCCCTTGTGTTTTTGATAGAGACCGGGTCTTGCTCTTGCTCAAGCTAGTGTCAGACTCCTGAGCTCAGGCAATCCTCCCACTTTGGCCTCCCAGAGTGCTAAGATTACAGACATGAGCCACCATGCCCAGCCCAAGTAGGAAAATTAATCTCATCTGTTTCTGTAAGGAAAACTTAAATTACGTATGTGGCTCACACTATGTTTCTATTGGATGCTGCTGATCTGGAAGTTCTCGTGTTGCCTAGACCCTCACAGACAGCATCCCATATGGACAGTCCTTCCCCAAGTGGCCCTGCCCCCACGTTACTTAGCTGCTTGTGTGTCTCACTGCATTCCCTCTGTATTTCCTGTTTATCTGCTCATGTTAGGACAGCCATGTGGTGAGACCAGCCTCCACTGAGAGCTGACTCACACTGCACTCTTCACCTTGGGGGTCCCCAGTGGGGAGACCAACAGCTCTCATTGGAAAGCTCCCCTGGGTCACTGTTTCTGTAGCAGGCCACAGTGTCTCCTTTCAGGTGCCCCTTCAGCACTTTCCTTCCCAAAGAGCAGAATCAGGGCAGGGGTGCTGATGTCCCTTGTGGCTAACTTCCTCCCTGAATCTTGAATCTCAAGTAGTCCTAATTCTGTCATGTGAAGGGGTTTAGAGACTGCAGCATGTTGAAGGGCTGCCTTTCTTTCAGCCCAGCTGATGCTAAAGCCCTGGAATTGGCTTTTACCATCTAGGACAGTTGGACCTGGACCCCTGAAGGCCTGGGTCATAACCACTCCTGTCCCCAGAGTGGCCCCAGCATAGAAGACCCCATTCTTAAAACAGTTTACAGACATTTGCATAAACTCCTCAGCACCTTGCCTGATCGTGGTGCTTTTATGCTTTATGTGTGTGTTACATTGGTATAATCAGACAGAACTTAAGCTATTAGTCATGTGACATAGTGGTCAACTTGGAGCTCTTTTATTTATTTATTTTTTTAATAGAGAAGCCAAGTCTGATTAATATCATGCTCTTTTAAAAGTTAGAGGAAGTGTAACTTCCTGAAATTTGTCTCTTTACAGAGAGAAACTAAGAATCAGTCCCTAAAACTTTCTGCCCTTTTATCCTTGAAATAGAGCCAAGAACAGGAAAAACAAGACATGATCCAGTACCCAGTAACTACATCTCCAAGTTAATAGCTAACATAATGCAGATACTGTTGGAAAGATACTGATTTCTAGAGTTTTTAACCGAACAGTTTCCACTGGGCTTTTAATTGTTCAATAATAGAAATTCTACCCCTGTCAGGTATAAAAGGGAGAGGCATGGGCAGAGCCTTGCAACACAGTTCTGCCACCTCTGCAATCATGGATAGCAGTTGTCATGAAAGGAAGAGTCCTCCCCTCCCTAGTGAGTCACTTTGGACTAGAACAGCCAGTCACTGGGTTGCAGCTCTGACATGGACCCAAGGAAGGGTGGGTCCTCTTTGCAGGTTCATGTGAACAGTCTCTCTGGCACTGGGCCATGTCTTCTTGAACAGACTTCTTGAACATGACTTCTTGAACATTTTCTGCAAAAATGTGCTTTCTTCTGCTGGTCAGTAGATCAGGCTCCCTAAATGTCTGTAAAGGTGAGATGGGACAGTAGACTGATGTTGACTCTAAAGTTAGGGACAGGGGGCTAATGCACATTGTTTGTAGACTTCTTGTGCATCTCATTTAGAAGTTCCCAGTTTTATCATCTTCAGTGTCATTGGGAAATATGATTTGTGGTTATCCTAGTCCATTTTGTGTTGCTATAAAGCAGGGGTCCTCAAACTTTTTAAACAGGGGGCCAGTTCACTGTACCTCAGACTGTTGGAGGCCCAGACTATAGTTTTAAAAAAAACTATGAACAAATTCCTATGCACACTGCACATATCTTATTTTGAAGTAAAAAAACAAACAGGTAAAAACACTCGCATGTGGCCCGCGGGCCGTAGTTTGAGGACACCTGCTATAAAGAAATAACGTAAGGCTGGGTAATTTATAGAGGAAAAAAAAGTTCATTTGTCTTATGATTCTGATGGTTAGAAAACACATGATTGGGCACCTGCATCTGGTGAGAACCTTAGGCTGCTTCCACTTAGGCAAAGGGGAGCCTGTATGTGCAGAGACCACACAGCGAGAAAGGAAGCAAGGGGCATGGAGGTGCCGAGGCTGTTTTTAACAACCAGCTCTTAGAAATAATGGAGTGAGGACTCACCTCTGAGGGAGAGCATTTGTCTGTTCATGAGGGATCCCCTCCAACAAGCAAAACACCTCCCATTAGGCCCCACCTCCAGCACTGGGGATCCAATTTCAGCATGAGATTTAGAGGGGACAAACATGCAGATCACAGCAGGGGTTAATAAAAATACCGGTCTTTCCCAACAGCATTTTCTCTTTTTATTTCTAAGCAAAATTTTTCTTCTATTGACTAGGATGATGCCTAGAGTGTTGTGGTTGGCCATGATTTTGAGTTCAGGCAAAGTTTGCTCCATTTCATGATCACGTAGCCCGTGTGTAGGATGGCCCCCCTCTGCAGAGAACAGGGACCTGATCTCTCTCAGATCTGGCAGGTCCTTTAACTGCCCGTGCCAGCTGGTGTCCTTGTCTGTTGTGAAAACCAAATGAGATCACAGGCAGGAGCTGCTGAGCAGGACCGAATGCTCCTGAGTATTCTGGCAGTGGTGGCTGTTGTGAAGACTGTTAAAGGCTTCTCTGGGGTCTTTAAAGTGTCTCTGTTGGCCACATCAGGGCCCCTCTCCTTTTTACTCTGTGCTGACTTGGCGTTTGCTTTCAGACATTTGTTCTGGTCCTGGAGGATGGCTGTGCGGGTGGAGCCTCTGCAGGAGAGCTGGGCTGAGGGCAGCCCCGAGATGGATTTCTGAGAGCCCAGAGCCTCTGCTTATTCGTGGCACCTTGCTCTTCTCTTCCTGTTTCTTCCCCTGAGCCCTGCAGAGCAGTTGTCTCCTCTCCTGAGCCTTGGGGTGTGGACAGCAGTACCAGATAGACTGGTCTGCTCAGGACCCTGACTTTTGTCATGTGGGCAATCCTTCTTTGTTGCTAAGAACAGTCAGTTATTAAAAAGTAGAAGTTGAGGCTGGGTGCGGTAGCTCACACCTGTAATCCTAACACTCTGGGAGGCTGAGGTTCAGGAGTTCGAAATCAGCCTGAGCAAGAGCGAGACCCTGTCTCTACTATAAATAGAAAGAAATTAATTAGCCAACTAAAATATATATAGAAAAAATTAGCCGGGCATGGTGGTGCATGCCTGTAGTCCCAGCTACTCAGGAGTCTGAGGCAGAAGGATTGCTTGAGCCCCAGGAGTTTAAGATTGCTGTGAGCTAGGCTGACGCCACAGCACTCACCGAGCAACAGAGCAAGACTCTGTCTAAAAAAAAAAAACAAAAAGTAGAAGTTGGCTAGGCACAGTGGTTCGTGCCTGTAATCCTAGCACTTTGGGAGACCAAGGTGGGAGGATCACTTGAGGCCAGGAGTTCAAGACCAGCCAGGGCAACATGTGAGACTCTCTACAAAAAAACAGAAAAATTATCTGGATGTGGTAGCACATGTCTGTAGTCTCAGCTACTCGGCAAGCTGAGGCAGGAGGATTGCTAGAGCCTGAGAGTTCGAGGTTGCTGTGAGCTATGATGACACCACTGCATTCTAGCCTAGGCAACAGAACAAGACCCTGTCTCAAAAAAAAAAAAAAAAAGTAGTTAAAAATTCTGCAAATCTTAAATGGCCTTTGAGCAGCACATGGCCTTTCCTGTTAGGGATGCTGGGCACAGGTCTGATGGAAGGACAGCTTGCCTTCCCTAGAGAGGGACTCAGTCCCATAGCTGACATGGCCTGTGCTTCTTGCCATAAAGGTAATGGGGTGGAACTGGGTTGTTCTTGGCCCAGTCTGTGGAGGGCTGGGCGTTCTGTGTGAGTGCGTGATTCAGGTTCCTAAAGGAAGGGCTTCATGGCCTGTGAAGAGAGCTTCGGTCTGCCACCTATTTCTGATCCCTTGGTCATACCTGGCTCAGGTGGATTTGAGAAGGAACCCCCTGCTCCTGCCCTGGCCCTGCCCTGCCTTCTTGCTAATGGGCAATCAGCACTTTTCATTCAGCTAGACTTGGTTAGAATCCCCCTTGCCTGTGTATGTCTGTGTGGAATAGATGGCCTACTGCCAGCACATTGGGGTGGAGTTCATGTTCATCAACGACCTGGAGCAGTGCCAGTGGATCCGACAGAAGTTTGAAACCCCCGGGATCATGCAGTTCACAAATGAGGAGAAGCGGACCCTGCTGGCCAGGCTTGTGAGGTCTACCAGGTATGAATCTGGCTCAGGGTGACAGGGTACATGCTGCCAGGGAAGCAGTAGCCCCATCTATGTTGTCTGGGAATATGTGCAGCCAGTCAGCTGAGGGGTAGGTGTGGTGGGGCATGGCTGCAGCCAGGCACATGGGAAGGGACACCAGGCAAGTAGAGTCAGCCTCCAGTGCCCTCTCTTGGTGTTCAGCAAAGCATGACTTTGGACTGGCCATGGTGACATTACTCTTCAAGGTGGCTTGTTCCCTGTGCAGGTTTGAGGATTTCCTGCAGCGGAAGTGGTCCTCGGAGAAGCGCTTTGGTTTGGAAGGCTGTGAGGTGCTGATCCCTGCCCTAAAGACCATCATCGACAAGTCGAGTGAGAATGGAGTGGACTACGTGATCATGGGCATGCCTCACAGGTACCGCCAGGAGCACTCCCCACCTGGTGTCCTGCCATGCCTGTGGGCTTCATAAGAGGCCCCGGGTGGGGCACTGGGTGAGCAGCCGCTCCCTCCTCTGGTGCCAGTTGTGAACCTGGGTTCGTGGATATGTGAAGGTGCCTTGTTTTGCAGAGGTTCTTGAACCCCCTTCCTCTGGAGGACTCTGCAGAGTCACTGTCACAGCCACTGGCGTCTGGCCTTACACTGCATTTTTTTTCTAATAGTTAAATCCTGATGCCCTTGTTGGGGTCTAACCTGGAGGAACATCTGCTCCCTGACATTGAAAAGGAGGTCAAGACCTTGGGAATAGGGGGAGACACAGGGAAGTGGGGGAGGCTGAGGAGGCTGTGGGCTCATAGCACTTGTGCACTTTCTACTGCCAAACACACTGTGTCCTTTGGTGCCCACATCAGGTCCGGGTCACAGCTATTCTTAGAGAGGAGATACCATGTCCCGGGTGAGGGGAGGGGCTGATGGCAGCCTTGCCTGCCGTCTGGGAGTCGTGACCTGGGCTCTGTTCACCCTACCTCCCCACCCATGTGTCCCAGGGGGCGGCTGAACGTGCTCGCTAATGTCATCAGGAAGGAGCTGGAGCAGATTTTCTGTCAGTTCGATTCAAAGCTGGAGGCAGCTGATGAGGTGAGGCACCTATGTAGAGACACATGCGGCATATTCTCAGCCCACACAAGGCCCCCAGCTCTACTTGCCAGGGGCTCGGTTCTTCTGTACCATTTATAGATGGCCTTCCTTGGAAGGATTTCAGCGTTGGAATAAGAGAGATGGCAGTGGCCCATCTCCTAGTCACAAGCCCAGCAGCCCCACAGTCCTTCATCTGGGCACAAGGATGTCCCCTCTGGCCTAGGCGCTGAGTGTCTCCCTGTGCCCTGGGTGGGAATGATCCTGGGCAAAGGCATTCCCATCCTTCGCTAGCGGGGTCCTGCATGCAGAAACCCCATACAAGAGGCCATCGTGAAGGGTGTGCGCATCTCTCCTGTTTCCCCTGTCAGGGCTCCGGAGATGTGAAGTACCACCTGGGCATGTACCACCGGAGAATCAACCGTGTGACGGACAGGAACATCACCCTGTCCCTGGTGGCCAACCCTTCCCACCTCGAGGCCGCTGACCCTGTGGTGATGGGCAAGACTAAAGCCGAGCAGTTTTACTGTGGAGACACCGAAGGGAAAAAGGTAAGGCCCTGGTAGAGGCCTGTGACGCAGGTCCCTGTGGCCCACATCTAGCACGGAGCTCCAGTCACTGATACAGCCCAGAGGCCATGGTGTTGCAAGTCTGGAGTTTAAAAAAATATTCTAAACAAACTTAAAAGAGTAGCAGTAAAATAGCCCTACTTACAAATATGCCTTCTTCCAAAGTGGTAATCCCCAGAGGGGGTGGGGAGTTTGCTTTTGCCTTCATACGTCTGTGGAAGAGTTGGGTTTGCGGATGCTGTTGGTGGACAAAGAGGTGTTTCCACTGAAAAAGAGCAGCGTCTTTGTAAGGAATAGGTGTGGGTGAGCCTGAAGGAGCAGCTGTGGCACTGAGAGATGTCAGGAGAGACAGGCCCACTGCTGGCAGGGGCAGGAGTTCACAGCGCCATTAAGAGATGGAGGCAAAGGCACAGGCCCCAGGTGCGGGTGGGGTCCTGCCTTGGCATTTCCAATTGCATGGCAGTGAGTGGTGAGTGCTAGCACGTCAGTCTGCCCACGTATGAAAATCCTCAGTGGGTTATAACCGTTTGCCCTTATCTAGCCCCAAGATAGAATTCTGTCTGTAACAAATTGTATAGTTCTTATTACTTAATGGTGACCTAAAAATCAATCAGAAAAAAACAAATATTTATAATGTCTCATGTGTGTTCTGGGAAACATACAGAGGAGACACCACCAACCTGCTTTCAAGGGTCTCTTGTTCTTTTTAGAAAAAAGATCACATGTAAGGAAGCTAATAGAACATGTAACAGTGTGTTAGGAAATTGCAGAGTTAACCATGAAGAGCTTCAGAAGATGTATGTGTGGGTGTGGGCTAGAGCTGGACATGGGATACAAGGCAGTCACGCCCCTCATCAACAGAGTAGGTGGTTGTCATCCTGGAGAGATGGCAGGATTTAGGTAGGCGAGAAGGGAAAACATTCTCTGAAGATGAAAGGCAGGAGCAGAGGTGAAGGGTGGATTGGGGATGCAGAGCAGGGAGGATCCAGCCTCTCAGGTGGGTCCTGGAGAGAGATTAGGTCTTTGTTAGAGGTAGATCCAATTATTAGTTTCCTGGGTTCTGTAATTTCAAGTACTGTCAATCTAGTATTTTGCTTAGAGGATTAGCAGAAGGGAAACCACCATCAGAGGTGATAAAGTCCAAGCTGGGGATGCATCGAGAGCAGGAAATGATCCTTGCATTGATCAGTACTCGCTGTAAAGAACAAATGTGACCCATGGGGACACAGAGGTCACTACACAACATCAAGTTCAGGGACTGGGACAGTGCCACAGAAACTCTTAAGTAGATGCAAACAGGCCTCAGCTCTGTTGGGGGGATGTGCAGTCGGTCCCCAAGACCAATAACAACACTGGGTATCTGGAAGAGGCTGGTCCTAGGAGAGATTATGAGGAGGGTAAGGGGGAAACCAGCACTAGGGTGACCAGTGCCTCTGGGATTTCAGCCGCCATTGGTTAGGACGCTTGCCTAGGCTTTTGGGGTACATAGTGGAACAAGATTACAGAAAATTTTGGATGACTTCTGCATTCATAAATTATGGTCAAAAATTCACTTGAGTAGTACCTACAATACAGGAAATTTCCCAAAAGGGAATGAAATAATTAGAGAAACAACAATAGAGTATATTTAAAATTGCTGCAAATCGTCACAGTAATTGGTCCTTTTATGAGATGCCAGGACAAGGGAGGTTGGCTAGCCTCTATTTGGTTGCAAATCTGCATGTAGCTGTCTGGGCTGTCAGTCCCTTTGTTTTCCTGTCCACACACACCAAGTGGTCACATGTTTGCCCTTGTCCCAGTGTGGACAGCTGCCAGTTCCTCTTTCTGAGCCACCCCCTCACTTTGCCCCAAGCCCTTGCATGCCCTCAGTGGGATCAGCAGCAGCCTCAGCCTTCTGCCTGTTCTTGCTGCTCTTCTGACACCCCTAGGGAATGCTTTCATTTCTGTTAAATCCAGAATTCAGGGAGCCAGAGTGTGCATTATATAACTGTCAGCATTTGTGAAAAATTACATACTTTCTATAAGTGCAGCTGAGGTCATCCCACAACCTCATGTGTGACTTAAACTGACCCAGTTTGGCTCAGAGTTGAATGTGACCTTTGGGATATTTGTGAAAACATTTCCTCAGTGCAGTGGTGCAGCCTACAGCAAAGAGAAAACCTGCCGCTGCCAGAGGTACGAGTCAGGCCATCAGGGTCAGGCTGTCAGACACAAGGAGATTCCCCACACATGTGAGAGGTGATTTTTGCAGCCAGTTACCTCCCTGAAGTATGGCAAGATGGTCACCATATAATGTCACCAGAAGATCAAGAAAAATCGCATGAGGAAAAGGAGACTAACTCCAAGTACCCCGCAGCACAAAACTGAGATTGTACAGAAAAGTACCTGCAGGAAGAAATGACACACTGTGGGGATCAGGAAAAAATGAAATGTCAGTGACTTAAAACCAGTGGCTTTGACACTCAACAAGCCAACCAGTCTGGGTATCGGGGCAAAGCTGTGCACCCCTCCCAAGGGTACCCCGAGCAAACCAGACTCTTGTGCCCATGTCCTTCTGTCCTAGTGAGCATCCATCACAACCACCAAAAGGCAGGACACGTGCAGTTCCATTTAAAAGAAATTCTGGGTTTTGTCCCTAACAAGCAAATCATGGACCTTCCCTTCCTGGCAGGGAGGACTCAGCACAGTGGTGAGGACCAGGGTGGTGATGGGAACCCGGAGGCACAGGTCAGCAGGCCCCCAGGCCAGGTATGCAGTGTGAGGCAGGGTGGGAGGATTCATGTCACGTCAGCTTGGCCAGCCACAGTGCCCAGTTGTTTGGCCAAACACCTGTCTAGATGTTGCTGTGAAGGCATTTTTTAGATGATTAACATTTAAACCAGTAGACTTTTTTTTTTTTTTTTTTTTGAGACAGAGTCTCGATTTGTTGCCCAGTCTAGAGTGAGTGCTGTGGCATCAGCCTCGCTCACAGCAACCTCAAACTCCTGGGCTCAAGCAATCCTGCTGCCTCAGCCTCCTGAGTAGCTGGGACTACAGGCATGCACCACCATGCCTGGCTAGTTTTTTCTATATATATTAGTTGGCCAATTAATGTCTCTCTGTTTATAGTAGAGACAGGGTCTTGCTCTTGCTCAGGCTGGTTTCGAACTCCTGACCTCAAGCAATCTGCCCCCCTTGGCCTCCCAGAGTGCTAGGATTACAGGCGTGAGCCACCGTGCCCGGCCTTAAACTAGTAGACTTTAAGTAAAGCAGATGACCCTCCATGATATGGGTGGGCCTCATCAAATCAGTTCAAGGACTTTGAGAAAAAGACTGAGATCCCCAAAGAAGAAGGAATCTGCCTGTAGGTGGCCTTTGGACTCAAGCTGCAGCATCAGCTCCTACCTGGGTCTCAGCGTACTGGCCTGCCCGCAGTTTGAACTTGCCAGCCCAATTCCTTAAAAAGTAATCATTCTCTCTCTCCTTCCTCTGCCACCCTATTGCTTCTTCACTCCGGAGAACCCTGACTAAGACGGGGTTTGGAGCGGCGTAGGCTGTGTATCCAAGGAGTAGAGGTGTGGTGGGCTCTCAGGGTTGGGGCACTGGGGGCGCTGAGCAAATAGGTAAACATGTTCAAGGCAGTGGGAACAGAGTGTCTTGCGGTGTGGGAGATATTTATAGGTATGGAAGGAGGTGGCTTAGGAAAGTATTGGATTGGAATTTGGAGGTATCAGTATGAACTTACACAGTTTTATTATATACACAGAGAGATACAGAAATAGCCCTGTATGTGTGTGCACATTCATATGCACACATATTTTCTAGCTGTGTCCTGAATGGGCCTAGAAGTGATGATGTCCTAGTAGTGATGAGCACACAAATATTGGTCTTAAATCCCATCGTCTGTTAGAGGAACCAGGCTCCTTAGAGAAACGGCTGATTCCAGGGCTGGGCAGGGACAGCATAAGGTGAGGCTACGATGCTGTCTTATGCCAGAAAGCAAGGAAGTGCTCCTGAATGATGGGGACCTGTCCAGAGGACACGGAAGGCTGCTGGAAGGAGCTGCCATGCCAGTTTTGGAATAATGTGAGCTTCAAAATAACCCACAATATTGATGAGTTACATACAAACTATTGAATAAAATAGGAACCATGAGTCCATATTAATATGGATAAACAAATGGAGCAGGAGGGAAAGTTCTTCATTGCAGAGAATGCCAACTAATAAATGCAGGTGTAACAGAAATCGGTGTTTGCCATCCGTCAGCCACCTGAGGGCCTGATTCTGGTGGAGTTGTCGGTGCTGAGGCTGGGGTGCAGGCTTGAGGAGGAACAGAAAATAAAGTTTCTCCCCACAAAATACTACCCCTGCACCCACTGCCAAGGAGAAAATAGCAAGTTACAGGGAGAATGGCAGACAGCAGCCTGCCCAGGTGACCAGCGTTAACCTGAGCTCTAATGTGGTTTGTCCTTCTTGGGTGAGTCCCCAAGGCCTGTCACAGTGTGAAGAGGGGAAGACAGGGAGCTGCTCCTGGTTGGAGGAGCTGAAGAGATGTTGCAACTGGTGCCACCCATCCTACAGGGAGCCTGGGTGGATGGCTGAGTCAGTGCTGCTCTCCTGGAAGTCAGGGTCCAGGTGCTCATGTTGGAGAGCGACATGTGCTGTACCTCCTGTGCTCAAAACGGACAGTGATGGCAGCATCGCGGAGTGTGTGGGTGTGGAGAAGACACCAAGGCGCTAGCAGTTGGATTCAGGGGAGGGAGCTGGGGGTCCTTTGTACTCGTGCTTTCTTTCTATGTTTGAAATGATCTCAAAACAAATTATTTTTTGAAATAAATGATGACTCATTTCCTCTGTTTGCCTGTGGACTTGGTGATTAAGATATGTTGGATTTGGGGGTCTCCTTTGGTGTCTGCAGGTGATGTCCATCCTGCTGCACGGGGATGCTGCATTTGCTGGCCAGGGCATCGTCTACGAGACCTTTCACCTCAGCGACCTGCCGTCCTACACGACGCATGGCACTGTGCACGTGGTCGTCAACAACCAGGTACCTCACACCAGCCGGAGGGTTTGCTGCCTACGTGATTCTTACTTAGAGCAACATCTCTGAGTCCTTTAGCACATTCCTTGTTTTCTGATTATAAAAATATGTTATTTAAAAACTTGGACAACACAGAAAACTTTTTTTTTGAGACAGAGTTTCCCTGTGTTTCCTGGGCTAGAGTGCCATGGCATCAGCCTAGCTCATAGCAATCTCAAACTCCTGGGCTCCAGCAATCCTTCTGCCTCAGCTTCCTAAGTAGCTGGGGCTACAGGCATGCGCCACCATGCCCGGCTAATTTTTTCTATATATTTTTAGTTAGCCAATTAATTTCTTTCTATTTTTAGTAGAGACAGGGGTCTCCCTCTTGCTCAGGCTGGTTTCAAACTCCTGACCTTGAGCGATCCTCCCGCCTCGGCCTCCCAGAGTGCTAGGATTATAGGCGTGAGCCACCTTGCCTGGCCTACTTTTTTTTTTTTTAAAGGGGAGAGATTTTCATTTCTTTGCTTAAGATGATGTTACTATTTTGCAATAGAATGTTTTCTTGTAGCCCAGCAGGCATGCAGACAGCTATTTTCCTTTTCTAAGAAACTGGGTTCTGTGTGCACAGCTTTATGTTCATGCTTATTTACCACAGTGTTTGCTTATGTCGTTACATACTCTTTTAGTAATATTAATAGAAATACCCATGATAGGTTGTTTCATAAAGTAGCCTTAGGATACTCATTTTCTTGTTTCTGATAATGCTGTGAGGAGTGTTTTTGTAAGTATTTCTGCCCACACTTGATAGTATCCCCTGTTATGCCTGTTGCGTCCTCCTGCCAGCCACACCTGAGGGTGCATCTCATCAGTGCACGTGAACTTCTGTAACAAATATTCCAAGCCCTTTAACTGTAAGTGCTGTGCTTGGCACCAGGCCAAGCAAGGGTGTGCCCCCCACCATCACAGAGCTGATGGTTTAGGGCAGGGCCCAGCGTCTCATAGACGAGCCCATGAGGGGAAGGGATCATGGGAGGTGGTGTGTGAGATGTTGAGTTAGTCAGCAAATGCCTTCTGAGAATTTGATGTGTATGTGGAGACACAAAGGTCAAGCAGGCAATGATGGGGGGCCCTGGATGGAGGCAGGAAAGAAGTCCCAGTGTCTGAGAGAGTGGACAAGGTCATGACAGCTAGTGGCAGTTCTCTCTCATATTGACCGTCAACTGGCTCCTAAAGAAAGCTCCAGTTGCCTTGGGAAGCCATTGGAGGGACTGACGTAAGGAAGTGACAGGATACTGGTTGATTATAATGATGATGTGTTGCTATATGCAGAATGGGCTAGAGGAGTACAGAGAAATAGATACAGCTGTCCCAGCAAGAAGCAGAGGAGAGGGGCCAGGCACAGTGGCTCACGCCTGTAATCCCAACACTTTGGGAGGCTGACACAGGAGGATAACTTGAGCCCAGGAGCTAAGACCAGCCTGAGAGCTGAGCAGCATAATAAGACCTCGTATCTACAAAAATTTTTTTGAAAATTAGCTAGATGTGATGGCGTGTGTCTATAGTCCCAGCTACTCAGGCGGCTGAGGTAGGAAGATCACTTGGGCCCAGGAGTTAGAGGTTGGAGCAAGCTATGATCGGGCCACTGCACTGTAGCCTGGGCAACAGAGTGAGCCTGTGTCTACAAAAGGAAAAAAAAAGTAGAGAAAGAGAAGGGAAAATTTCAAGTAAATGTGATTATTGCATAGCAAACAAAATTTAAAAGATCAGATACTAAAAGAGGATAAGAACATTATCAACATATAACATATATACATTATAACATATTCATGACTGATACCATGGTACTCACTCTAGCCTGGGCAACAAAGCAAGACTGTGTCTCAAAAAAATAGTAATAATAATTTATTTGGGGTTTTTGGTTTTTTGGGGGGTTTTTTTGAGACAGAATCTCACTCTGTTTGCCTGGCTAGAATGCCATGGCATCAGCCTAGCTCACAGCAATCTCAAACTCCTGGACTCAAGCAATCCTCCTGCCTCAGCTTCCTGAGTAGCTGAGACTACTGGCATGCGCCACTATGCCAGCTAATTTTTTCTCTATATCTTTAGTTGACCAATTAATTTTTTTTTTCTATTTTTAGTAGAGATAGGGTCTTGCTCTTGCTCAGGCTGGTTTCTATCTCTTGACCTTGAGCAATCCTCCAGCCTCAGCCTCCCAGAGTGCTAGGATTACAGGCGTGAGCCACCACACTCACCCCTAATTTATTTGTTTTTTTCTCTTGTTGCTTATGTTTTTGGTGTCCCATCTAAGAAGGCTTTGCCTAACCCAAGGTCACAAAGATTTACTTCATGTTTTCTTCTGAGAATTTTGTAGTTTTAGCTTTTACATCTGTGATCTATTATGAGTTAATTTTTGTGCATGGTGCAAGGAAGGGTCCCAGTGGGACTTCATTCTTTTGCACGTGGGTACCAGCTGTCCCTACACCACAGTGGAAAAGACTGTTCTTTCCCCCATTAAATTGACGTGGCGTCATTCAACTTCTTGAATCTGTAGGTTACTTTTGACAAATGTGAAAAATTTTCAGATATTCATTTCAGTCATTATTTGTCCAACCCCACCTTCTCTCTCTCGTCTCTCTAGGACTCCAGTGACTGGAGTTAGGTCTTTTGTTATAGTCCTGATGCTCTGCATATTTTGATTTTTTTCATTCTATTTTGTCTCCATTTTTAAGCTTGGGTCATTTCTGTTGTTCTGTCTTTAAGTTCCTGATTCTTTCCTCTCTCCCCTACATGCTGCTATAAACCACCTCCACTGAGGGCCACCCCCCACCCCAGCTTTTTTATTTTTCGTTCCTTAAATTTCCATTTGGTTCTTTTTGCTATCTTCTGTTTCTTTGCTTGAAACTTTCTATTTTTGTTTTTGTTTTGGTCATATTCATAATTCTCCTGGAAACATTTTCATGGTGGCTGCTTTATAGCCTTTGTCATATAATTTTAACATCTGTGTCATCAGTGTTGGTCTCAGTTGATTGTTTTTTCTTATTCAAGCTGAAATTTTCCTGGTTGTTAGTATAACAAGTGATTTTCAAGTGAAACCGGGACATTTGAACTGGGCATTAACATTATTAGACTTGGAATCTTTAGTATCTTCTGTTATATAGCAGGCTCCTCTGCACATTTGTGCTGTGGGGTTGGGGGCACCGCATTGTCCCTGCAAGTGGTAGCCAGGGAAAGAACAGGTTCCTCTTTATTGTTCCCCATGTGGCCTCCTGCTGGGCACTCATGCAAGTTCCTGTTCTCTACTCAGCCTCCTCCAGTGCCACCTCATGCCATCGAGGTTTGAGGGCCTCCAGATGTAATCAACATCAGTCATGGCTCACGCCCCCCCATCCCCCGCCGGGCCTTTGCTGGGGCCAGTGAGGCCACAGTGTTTTCTGCCATATTTGGTTGCCGATGAGCAGTTATTGCCTAAACATTTCCTGTCTTGCTGTACTGCCTCTTCCCCGGTCCTTTGCCTGTGCCTGTTGGTGGAAGTTTGCAAGTTGCCCACTTCTCTAGCACTTGGTAGGGAACTGTCACCGTGTCATTCCTTGAACCTGAGGTCCCTAGCTGGTCTTCCTTCTTCTGTCCAACTTCGGAGTTTCATGTTTGCTTAGCATGTGATGTCTGCAGTTTTTAGCTTTACTTAGCAAGAGAAATAGGGAAAAGTACATCTACTCTACCTTCCAGAAGTGGAACTCCCTGTGGGAACTTTGTTAAACTATAAATTCAGATAAATATAGGATTGTTCAAGTTATCTGTTTATTCTTGAGTGAGCTCCAGTAATTTCAGGAAATTTGTCCATTTCCTTTAGGTTGTAGAATTTATGGGCATAAAGTTTATATTACCTCATTGGGATCTATAGGATCTGTAGTGATATCCCTTCTCAAATTCATGATATTTGGTAATTTGTGTCTTTTCTCTTTTTCTCGGTTAGTCTGGCTATAGATTCATCTTGTTTTCCCCAGGAATAGCCTTGGTCTCATTGCATTTCTGTTTTTATTTTCCTGTTTTCTATTTTACTGATTTCTGCTTTTTGTTATTCCTTTCCTTCTACTTAACTTTGAGTTTAATTTATGCTTCTCTCTCTAGTTTCTTACATCATTGTTTTGAAACCCTCCTTCTTTGTGATATACAATCATTTAATAACATTTGAAGTTAAAAATCACAATATAGGCGACAGATCGGCCGTAGGCTGTTATCCAAGAGTAGAGGTGTGGTGGGCTCTCAGGGTTGGGCACTTGGGGCGCTGAGCAAATAGGTAAACATGTAAGGCGTGGGAACAGAGTGTCTTGGCGGTGTGGGAGATATTTAAGGTAAGGAAGGAGTGCTTAGGAAGTATTGGATTGGAATTTGAGTATCAGTATGAACTACACAGTTTTATTATATCACAGAGAGATACAGAAATAGCCCTGTATTGTGTGCACACTCATATGCACACATATTTTCTAGCTGTGTCCTGAAATGGGCCTAGAAGTGATTGATGTCCTAGTAGTGATAGCACACAAATATTGTCTAAATCCCATCGTCTGTTAGAGGAACCAGGCTCCTTAGAGAAAACCGGCTGATTCCAGGGCTGGCAGGACAGCATAAGGTGAGCTACGATGCTGTCTTAAATGCCAAGAAAGCAAGAGTGCCTCCTGAATGATGGGGACCATGTCCAGAGGACACGAAGGCTGCTGGAGAAGCTGCCCATGCCAGTGTTGAATAATTGAGCTTCAAAAAACCCACAATATTGATGAGTTACATACAAACTATTGAATAAAATAGGAACCATGATCATATTAATATGGATAAACAAATGGAAGCAGGAGGAAATTCTTCATTGCAGAGAATGCCAATAATAAATGCAGGTGTAACAGAAATCGTGTTGCCATACCGATCAGCCACCTGAGGCCTGATTCTGTGTGGAGTTGTCGGTCTGAGCTGGGTGCAAGCTTGAGGAGGAACAGAAAGTAAAGTTCTCCCCACCATAAATATACCCCTGC